AACAATTTTAGTCTTAAGCAACCATTTAGTTGGCAAACTGTAAAGTCTAGTGTTACCCTCGCACTTACTACGGAGTACCTCTACCACTAATATATAAAGCTTTACAGATAAAATTGAAATTTCCGTTAATCCAACTCTGTTAACAACATTTTGTAACAGGTAAATAGCATTTAGGTTAAGACTACGAGAAAACTCAATATAAAAATTTTGTAGACATCGCCCGTGCTTATAAAGAGAATCATTGACCAAATATTGAGTAAAAAATCTACTCAAAAATGATGTCTTCCATGCTGCCAAATTTAAAGAGATTGTAACAGATTGTGCGAATACTTGGCATACTTTAAACAATCAACTGGAAGTAGAAAGTAATCCCCTAATTAATATCAATAACATTTAAACCCATTTGGGTCATAATGTCTTTGCCACTTAATATAGGACAGAAGCGTTCATTCAAAAATTAGATGAAAAGTCAAAAAAATGACAACCAATAAAAGGTCTATTTGTGTACAACAGATTATTTTTTGGGATCCTTTTATTGCTTTAGATTTTTCAAAAATCGAGACTTTATTAAAACTTTGAAGGAAGCTGTGCTTATTTGGAAGACACGGATTTTAAAAATTCACTAAAACCTATAGATATAAACAATTGCGAGCCTTTATAAGCATTTAGAGGTATTATTCGTTTTAACAGTACTTAATTCCTCCCTCTCTCGAGGAACGAAACGAATACGTATGCTTTTAATTACATAAGTGTTATTAATGAGAGATATGTGTTTACACTCCTATAAAATTTCCTGTTTCCTGATCCGAAAAATATTTTGATCTTTTATGGTTGACGTGTTGTCTTTTCGCATATCAATTTTGATTAAATAAGGGCTTAACCCGAGTTAAAATAATTCAATATTGCCAGATCGAGTTTCTGTTAAATTTTCAAATCATAAAGGTTGATGAACGGCAATTTTGAAAGAAAGAAAGCCGATTCTAATTTCTCAAAGAGACCCAAAATAATGCGTTTGAATAATATGGACGCAGGTTAAAAATCCGTTATTGCATTTAGGAGGGAGGGATTGATTAAAAAATGAATTGTTGTTTATATATTTGATTTTGACATAAGAAAATATGTTCTTACAGACTTCCCCAACCGACTCGGGGTGTTGGGGCGCTATCTTATGGTGTTATATTGTAATGTTTACATCAGTTTATGAAATTCGCGGTGAACCATTAATACTTAGCTTCGCATGAGAAAAACCTAAAAATGAGAATATTTTGTAGAAGAAATCACACACTGTTTTAGTGTTTATTTTATTTTGAAAGTTAGTTCTATATTATTTAGAATGACCATCATTCACAAACAATTAGAGAACCATGTCTTTTTATTGGACAAGCGAGTCAATAAGACATATTGGAGAAGTAGGATAATCTGAGTGTTGATTTCTTGATCCCGAGGAAGCATGCGAAAATCGCAATTATTTGAAAATCCAATATATCATTTTTGATATTAGCTCACCTCAGACATAGTAGAGCCAAATATTGCAGGCGTTTAATATTAAGATCGCATTCATCCAGCATCTCCAGACATTTTAAAGGGAACTCCTAGATTTATACCCTTACTTACTACCCCCCACCCTTCCCCCCTGAAAAATATAGAGCGATAAATTACTCAACCGTTCATGTAGGTATTGCCTTTATGAAAAATGGGGGAAGATATTTGATTTATTATTCAGTGGTATCAATTTGATACCTATGATAATTAATCTCCTTTATTCAAAAATGGTAAAAAGGTGGTGTCAGTTATTTTATCTGGCCGTTGGGAACTTAGAAACTAATTATTTTTGTCATCAGTTGGTCCTTCTCAGGGGTTTTTCTTTAATATTTTAGTTGTAAATAAGTTTTAAATGGTCGGAGGCTTCTATCTCTCTATTCAATGATTCATTCGCAGGGACTACGTCGTTTTCGGTTGTTGATAAAATTAATCATGACACATAAAAACATTATTTACATATTTTTTTGTCTACATTTATTTAATCCGATAATAATTGACAAACTTTAAAGTTGACTATAATTTCTCTCGGCATTAATAAGTATATCCGAAATATCCTATAGTCATTGTAAGCATTTTGCAGAGGAGATCTTTATATCTGAAGGAACATCTGAAGTTAAACAACGGTCATGTTAAGCTTTTAATTGCTTGATAAATTTACTCCAAATATTTGTTTGTTCCTCTAACAATTAATTTTGTCATTAGAAAATGTTAATTGATTTTAAACTCTACCGAATTAAAAGAAAAAAGTAAAATAAAAATAATATTCCTAACTATACATACTTTTTATACGATTACATTATATATTTTTTCCCATAATTATATAGAGTTTGTTAAAAATAAATGTAAAATATTTTCTTCTATCTTAGGAACTGTCATCATCTTTTATAATTCCAGGCTCCGTTTAATGTTGTTAATTAAATAATTAGCTAATTCAAAATTTTATCATGATCCTTATCATTTATTTTATTATACTTAATATTTTTTTTGTTAATGTTGCGACGTTCTTTTCAATAGCGTGCGACAAATATTCCTCAGTATATAAAAAAAAAGAGGTTATACAAGCTTAAAAATGGATTTTTTTAAAAAAAATTTCATACATTCGAACATAATATTTCTAGTATAATATTATTCTCTAACGTTTTCACATCCAACATTCAGTATTTAAATTTTTTTTAAAAAATCATTTTTTTACCTTCAATTTAGTCACCAATTTTTTTTGTGATACACTACACACATTACTTCTATAATATATAAACTTATATTTTTTTGCTATAATTAAGTTACATTTCAACATAAACTTTAAAAAAATAAATTATAATATTGAGGTTTAATTAAAAAAAAAATTATTTTCATCTATCCTTTTTTTTATCCTATAAGAACAATGGATTCTCGTTGTTTGAGAAAAATATGATAAAATTGTGCACGAAAATTCGGTGAAGTTTCGCAATGTTTGATTATTTTTATATAAATTTATTTGATGCAAATTTAAAGGTGAACTTAAAAAAACAAATTTTATATAATAAATATCGTGGTATTTGGTATAATATATAAACTATATTTTATGTAATATTATGATACATATTGATTATGGTGTATTATTATTATAATTGCTTAAATTACCACATTTTTAAATTTAAATATTTATAAATTTAAAATTATATAATAAAATACTAAATCTTATGTAAACCTATTAATTTATATAATATGGTAAGGTCATCTTTTTCTATATTTAATTTATGACAAACATCTGGAACTGGACATACACGAAGGATATAATAAGATTTAAATAAATCACAACTAACTTATTCCTTTTAATTCGTATTTTAAATGGGTTTCATGTAAATTGAATAGCATTTTTTAGATTTATTAAGGATTTAAGATAGCTATTACTAGAGTGTCAAAGAAGACAAATTCCATAAATTCCCATTATTAAGGGTTAATCTATCAAATATATATTAAAATATTTATACCAAACCTGGTTTTTTAAATTTTCAGTTATGGGTTTGAAAAGATTTTCGGTCAGTTCAAATTTACATACTGAATCAAGTTAACAAATTCGATCTGAAGTCCTACTTTTAATAATGGCAGGATTGGGTAATAATTGATTGATCAAAAATTTTATGATATAAAAAAAATTAGCATAAAATATTTTAAAAAGTAATATTTTAATGATAAAAATGGTCTTAGAACTCCGGTCTGATTAGCGTCTATTCTCAGTCTTGATAAAATATATTTTACTAGCTAAATATTATTTGGTAATTTAGGTAACTTCACTGAACTTTTCAAAAACAGGTGACTTAGTAACTAAAGAGAAGTAGATTATCAAGAATAATGATATATACAATCAATCACGTATATTGAGTCCATGACTCAAAATTGAAAAATTTATTGTATAAAGTTTTTAAACTAATCTAAATTAAAGATTATATTATTATTATAATAAAAAAAATATATTTTTACTACTGTAAGTTATTTATCATATTTTACTATTCCTTTTATTTGTAAATAAATGAAATTCTTCAATTTTTTATTATTTCTATATAGGTTGTTTAAAACTAAAAAATCGGTCAGGATCATGGTCCGGCCTTTATGTGTGATTAACGATTATGTTTAGCCTATAGAATCGGTTTCGCTATTCGTTTAGTCTTTAAATCGGTTCCAATCCGAACAGGGCCGTGATCTTAACTAATGATATTTTGATAAGATGAGTGAGATAATATATAAATAAATAAACCTTCAAATCATTAATCAAGGAAAGATGGTAGGATCTAGAAGGTTAGATATATACATATAAATAATGCTTAGAAATAAGTAATATAATACTTTTCCTAACAATATTAATTTTTTTTGATAAAAATATTTTTCGGGGAAAATTTGATTTGATTCATACCTCAAAGAAAGTTGAGACATGCATTTTTAAACATTTTTGAGCTATAAAAATTATATAAAAATTCAAAAATAAAATTTCTATTCATAGTATGAATTTTAAATTTTCTCGTTTCACCCTCAAAAAAGTGGGTTCATCACTTATTATTACAATTTATTTCAAGGTAGATACTATAACATTTTTCAATAAATTAATACATTATGCAGATTAGGGAAGTAAAGTAATTCGATTTTTAAAACATACACTGTTATTAAAATTAAAAAGTTTTTTTTTTAGTTATAAGGGTATGAATCATTATATAGTTCATTAAAAAACTTTTTCGTATGTGATCCAATGTTAACAAAAAAAAACACTTTATAACCCATATGCGTAATGTAATCAGTTATATTGTATTTTTGATAAAATGAGTATTCAAGTTTAGTATACTCTATAAGACCCAGGCTCATGGGATTCAAGGCCTTCGTCTGGAAGTCTGTTAGGCACTCATTAAGTTAAGATATGTATTCTATATTTTGATGCATATCTCTAAAATATTCATTGCTCATGTCTTCCCCTAAAAAATATTAATTAGATTATTGAACGACAAAGAAAGAAAACCATTCGTAGAAGAAGCCGAAAGGCTTAGGAACGTTCATAAAAAGGAACACCCAGACTACAAATACCAACCGAGAAGAAAAAAACCCCATCCATCGGTGGGCAAAAATTCCGAACAAATTAGCGATACAAGTACCGAGCTCAACAACGGAACAAGCAAATCTGAAAATTCTCTACAATCGACTAACAAGGAGATACGAATGGAAATGGAACAACCCGAAAAAGACGTTGATGGTGATACACGGTACAATGATCAATGCCAAGGGGTAGTTGTTAGTGAGGAGTATGTATCAAATTACAACATATACGATTACGTATATAAAACGTGTCAAAAAAGAAAAAATCGCGTTGCCAAGATCAAGGGTCTAGGCGCGGAAAAGAAAAACAAGAAAGAAAATACTAAGATAAAACCGATCCTCAAGGGCAAAAATGTCACGAATGGATTATCGAAGTCAAGTATTCCAAAATCTTCCACTCAATTTCTAAGAGTATATTCAATTAAAATTTTTGAATTAAATATAGAAATAGTTAAATATCCTTTTATAATTAATTTAAACATGGCGTTTTCAGGATTAGGGGTAACCGTTTCTCACCACCCTACGGTCTTATGTTTATAGCTTAATTAATATTGATTTTGTCTTTTTCTAAAATGGAAATTATTGTTTAATTTCTATTTTTCTGGGGGGGGGGGAATTAATTTTTATGCTTAACTTGATTAACAGTAATGGGTTTACAGTTTGTAAATTAAAATTTTTAAACTCAACCCAATTTATGATTGCCATTATACTCAATTGATATAATAAAAATATAAAAATTTTTATGCTTAACTTGATTAACAGTAATGGGTTTACAGTTTGTAAATTAAAATTTTTAAATTCAAAACCCAATTTATGATTGCCATTATACTCAATTGATATAATAAAAATATAAATAAGGCTGCTTTAAATAATGGATACGAAAAATTGTCGGAGGAACATTTCCCAATGCTAGATCCCAATTTGGGTTTATCGGAAAATCGATTTTTACCGACTCCGCCTAATAGTCCCGCAAGTCAATCCTCCTTTAACTATGGTTTAAATATCCCGCAATGTAAGAAATTCGTTATTCAAGGTTTGAGATTTTGTGTAAGATTGGTGTTAGTACTTTGCTACACACGTTTTGGAAAGGCATAACCTTAAAAATGATTAATTGGCAACCATTTTAAATATAAAAATTTTAATGACTCATGTAAAATTATTATTAGCTATGGCCCTGTGCAAAAAATAACTATTTAAATTTTTTATAATCAACTGGAATCAGAACCTTGAACCCTATGATTTATAGAAACCAAAAATTCATTCTAAAATTTCCAGAGTGCAAATAATTTATATTGTTTGAAATGTGTTTTTTGATTACTTTAACAGGTTTATAATCAGAAATAGAACCTTGAATCCTCGGGACCACTTTAAATTTAAGAAACAGAACTAGAGCCATTTTTATATTTAGAACTGGAAATTTTTCTTGGTCCAGGTAACAAATTCTGAATATTCTATTACATATATTTTTTTTCAAATTTAAATTAAGATGGCCCGTGAAAGAAAATGCCATGTGCCATAATCTTTGAAAAGTTTCTATTTATTTATAATTAATTAATTTGAAATGAATATTTGCCCATTTCCTTCCCCAGATACTCAATGCAATCTTAATTCCCAATTGGCTAATCCATACGAAATAGAAATTCTAAATGTTGGCAAAGACGTAGAACAACACGCATGGAAATTCGATCCCAAAATGGACGGCGTTTCTAGTCCCTTTCATTTCGACATGGAGCCATCTTGCCACCACAAAATGATATACAATAACCATAACGAACTAAGACCTAACTACGAGGAGTACAAGTACGATCATAATATAGATAACGCCGAGTTTGATCAATATTTGAGCAAAAATTTATGGGACAGTTCGTACATGGTATCGCAATCAAAAACGTTCAATAACTTGTCTAACCTAAACTGCGGAGAACTAAGTCATCTCGATCAGCTTTTCACTTACAACAATAATAAGTTAAAATATTACAACAATACTCTCAGCATAAATACCTATCTAAATACGCCATCTAAAAATTTTTCGAATAAAAATTTTACCGTTTCAGGCATTGAATCACAAACTTTCACGACCATTTGTAATAACGAAAATATAGCAAATAATAATATAAACTTTTTGAATAAAATAGGCGATAATTTTAAATTAAAAAATCATTACTCAAATTACCCTTTCACGTCGGTGTATCATAACGCGCAAGAATCGGGCCCGTTTCCGGATCGCAGCAGTATAAACGCGTTCGAACTACATAATAATCCAGGAGAACAAACCAGTGTGTACATGCCTATCGTTTATTCAAATTTGATAAACACCGAAAGTTCTGATATGGATCTATCGCAAAACAAGACCTCCTACAACTATTCATCAATCGCGATACAGAATCAGGACGATAGCGGCTATAATGGTAGCTTCCAGCAAACAGATCCTCTAAATTTCCCTTATGTCAAAATGAACGACATCGAATACGAAGATGTGTCTAGGCCCAGAACCAAACCTTGCGAAAATCAGTTCTATGCGGATGAAAGAATCAATTACTGGGATTGAATTTTTTTATGTGAATTTGCTTATATATATTAAGAAATTTTTTTTTTTAATATTTAATCGACGACGCGTAATCTGTTCTCAACAAAATCAGCTTTCACAATGATCTCAGAATTTTATTGTATCCATCTGTTAAATCATTGTGAAAACTAGGTTTGTCAAGGATTTCGGTAGAACAAAAAATGAATATAATATAATTAAATTTCTTGATTAATTTAATAATTTTTATTATTTAAATTAAATATTTTTTAAAAAAATGATTCAAAATAAATGGAAAAATATTATAAAATTATTAAAAACTAAACTTTAAAAAATGTATAAGTAGTATTCAAAATAATGTTGTTTATAATCTAAAAATAGTTGCGAGATTAATATTCAAATTTTTTTTGAATGTCTACCTTTGTAATTAGGATTATAAAAAATAAATATATATTGAACATCATTAGAATATTTATATCTAAGAAGAGTTAATGTGAGTTATCATAAAATTTTGGGGAATGTTATAAATATATTGTAAAGAGGCCATTGACTTTTTAGGAAAAAATAAAATATGAATAATGCTATATAGATTATTTAAAAATATTTTACCTTTTTAAGATCCGAAAATATTTAATATTACCTGTGTGAATGTTATGGAATCGTCATTTAATAATTTTTTAGATGATTGGATTTCATGTTAATGCCAATCTCCAAGAATTTTTTAGATCAATAAATATGCCATTTTGAAATTGGTCACCATAATAATTTATATTAATTTATCGCCAAAAAACTGGAATAAAAGTATGCGAGAGAGAAAAAAAATGAATTTTTATTTATAAGCGACTAAAAAACTGGCTTTAAAAAAATGTGTTTTATATCAATCAAAAGGGAAATAAATTATTATTCTTTGGGTGTATCCCTTTATTTTTAAAAAACAATTTTTATTTTTAATGAGGGATTGAACTAAAAAAAAGCCCAAAAAAACGTTATTTTCTTAAGTTATATTAAAATTAAAAATGGGGAAATATTGATAAATTTTTATTATATAAGAGAATTGAGATAATGAAATTTTCAGCCAAAACAATATTTTTTTGTCCTATATAGGGAAAATATGACCTTTTGTCGTTATAAACAAGAATTTATATCACATAAGTATATAACAATTTATTTTACCGTCTCGGATATCTGCTAGAATATTTAATGATTATTTTTTTTATTTCGTGTTAAATATTTTATATATAAATCTGAAAAACTAGACGTTGGCGATATAGAATATTAATCTTAAGAAACATCTTATATCTAAAAGAGTAAGAATTGTTTGTTTGTTTATGAAAACCAAAAAAAGACGATAATTTCATTTTTGACTCGAAGCAGACGAAAAATTTATGAATTATGGATATTTCTTGAAGGGAAACTGTAATTTTTATAACTCGCCCTGATTATTTTCTTCCAATATTTTAAGATAAGAAAAAATAAGGTATTATTGATTATGATATTTTGAAGATGATTTATAAAATGAATTATATATAAAAATATAATAAGGTAATTGGCTTAAGAATGATATTATATTTAAATATAATTATAAAATATAATATATCTATTTTTGAATCAATATTTTGTATGCCTAGAAGTCTTTCTATATTGAAATTCCTTAAATATTTCTTTTATAAAAACATCATATTTAAATATTAAATCCTTTTTTTAAAAAAAATAATACTTTTCAATTAAAACATAATTTAAAAATCGTATGTATTAAAAAAAATAGAAGGTAAAAAAATTTCCGTCTTTTGATATTGCAAAGCAAATACTTTAAAGGATAAATGAATAAATATAATAAAATGAGGTTAATGATATCTTATTTACAGTATCCAACAATAAGCTGGAAAAAATAGCTTTAAATTGATGGCATTTATTTTTTAGAAAGCACGCGGTAAAAAGAATATACCAGAATTGAGCTTTGCCAATTCTAGTAAAAATAATTTGATTGGCTTATTCATAAAAAAAAACCAATCTAACAAGAGCAGGGTTGCCAGGTCAAAACTCTCAAATTGGGATAAATATTTTGAAAATTTTTTTTTGAGGGAGAAGCGAAAGAAAAATTCCCCATTTATTCCTATAATTCTTACTGTCAATATCGTTTTATAATATTTTATTCTTAGTTTTAAAGTTTTTATTTCTACTTCTTGGTATGGAGTTATTTTATTTATTATATAAAGGTAAATACTTTTATAGTGTTGTTAAACGGCTCGATTTGAGCCCATTTTAATAAAGGCTAACATTATATTTTACCCCAAAAAATATTACGCAAGCCTGAAAAAATCTCTCATATATGACACAAGCTATTTTTTTGCTAAAATACTGAGTTCGGTGTTTTTAAAGATCGGCTCAAATCGAGCTGTTTAAAAACACTCCTTTAATCTGATAAACGAGACAAAATTTTATAAAATAACATATTTATAGATTAAAATGATAAAAAAAAATTTAAATGCTGGAGATTTCTAATTGCGAAAGTTTTGCTGGTGAAGGATCTCTGCATGTTAACTAAAAAATTGCGGGAGTCTCTCGCCAATTTGGGGAGACCTGGCAACCCTGAACATGAATTATCATTTTTGTATGATAACTTAGTCAGTCCAAGCAACCATATATGTAAATACTAAATTTGTCATATAACATATAAGCAGCAAAAGATCTTAAAATAGCATAATATGGGAACCGAAATAAAATAATTGGTAAATTTATAGCATATAACTTTTAGTAAGTCCAACACATTCAGACAGATTATATCATATTTACAAAGCCATCATTTATCTTCACATTCCTTCAATTTAAATGAGTCATGAGTCATAACCCCCCTCCATGTTATAACTAGTATCTTTTACTTCCTTTCAACTTTAAAAAAATGATTTGAAACTAGGTATGGTTAACTTGGCAGAGACAGAAAATTCTTTCACTACATGGAGTCTTCAGTTAGATTTATTATAAATATTGTATTAATATACTATACAGATAATTTTGAGAATGTTTAGTCAATGGGAGGAAGATATGATTGCTAAAATTTGATACTTGCTTTTATTGATATGTATCTATATTTTTTTCTTTCGTTCCCATCTTTTCTTTCTCTCTAGTATGTAGCACCCTATTTGTCCCTCACATATTGAAATTCGAATATATTAAGATAGATTATAATGAAATAAAAGTTCTACTAATTTCAATTCATAGGTTATGATTGATAAAGGAGCTAGATGCTTGACTTGACTAAGGTGCTTGCTGATAGTTTAGGTGATAAACATTTGTATATGAAATACAAAAGTTTGATAACATTGTATAATGCAATGTAAATGATATTATTCTAATTAACATTTGATGTAATTTACTTTATATAAATGAGAAAACGCCCGGATTCCAGATTACTATAGTATTCCCATTTTTTAAAAAAGGTATATTTTAAGTTCTGAAAGACTTAGCATTGCCAAGGTCTTTTAAAAAAATCTTAACTGTGTTCATGTTTAAAATATAAGATCTTCTTGTGAAGTAAATTTAAGGAAAACATTATAATTATTTATCTTCTATCACTATTTATCATACTCATGTCTAAAAAAATGTATTTATATAAAATCATTTTTATATAATATAAAACTATTATTTATAATAATTTTTGCATATGCTTTTGCCTATCATTTTACCAAAAAATTTGAAATGCGTTAATATAAAGATATATCTTTTTTTTTAGTTTCCGGTTTAATTATTATATATGATAAATATGAAATTATGGGAGAAGAAAAAAAAATTAAAAGCAAAGGCATTCTCCTTTAAAAAATTTTGGTTTTTTAAATTTAATGTAGCAAACCTACTATTTATTATATATATATATATTTATTATAATTTTATAAAAAAATTATTTATCATAAACAATAAAAATAAATTTTTTTGATAAAATTTTAATTTAATTTTTATAAAATATTAATAATTTACAAGTAATTAAATTATTTTTTATTTTTCATGAAGTTTAAGATTTTTGTAAAAATTAATCTAAATAAATAAATTAGATACGAATCATTAAATTATTTATTGGCTGCCACGCACAGCCACACCGCATAACTATTTTGATATAGTACGGAAATATCCTTGTACTTCAATTTTGATGTATACAAGATTTTATATAATTCTATATATATATCTTCCACGTCCAAATGACATTAATATTAACCAATGACGTATATGCGTCCATACATAAGAAGTGAGCTCTAGCGCCATTCTGTGGCTTACACTACGAACGAATTGCTTAATTTTATAGGAATGCAAATTAACGTCATTTAATCGGCATACGAACCATAAAATGGCGCTACAGCTGTCTATGTATGGACATTTTAAAATGCATTTAATGAATGGATCGCCAATCTAGTTTAATCTATTAAAATCTGCATAAGTCGTCTTGAAAGGCATCTAAACTGTCTTTCAATGTCATCTATTGAAATCGATTAAAGCTGACCTCAATGTAAATACGCCTTTATAAATGAATCATCAGTCTTGGTTAATATCATTAATCAGGACCATCCTAAAGCTGGTGGGTTGGGAACTCAAAAAGTTTCTCCTATCTAGGACCTTGCATCATTGAAATGAGGGTACCATCTTAGTCAATATGTATATTGGTAATTATTTTATAAATATGTGATTTCATTTTGTCATCCAAGTGCTGGGGGAGAGGGGTCCGCATTATTAACCTGAGGAATCAGGGGGCCTGATTTCGTCAAAAAATTTTAATTAATCTTATTTTACAATTTTATTTGTTAATTATTATTCTTAAAATTGTTCTTTATTTTAAAATACTATAATATTTTTGTCGGATAGGACGCGATTTGAAATTAAATCGGAAATGTTTTAGCGGGTTTAAAAGATATGTAACATTTAGACCAGTTATACCGTAAGTTTTTTAATTTTGAAAGAGGATTAGGCCAAAATAGCATTAAAATACATATGGAGTAAATACCCATCCGACAATTTTGTCACAGACCTTTAAATTACCTTTAATATATCGATTTTTCATGAATCTTGGACATTAATGTTCTGGCCAAAAAAATATCAGGCACAAATATTCCAATTTCCAGAAAAAAAATTTAAAGCTTTAAAAAGTTAAACATTTTTAAAATTACTCCTTTTTTAAACATTTAAAGAAATGTTTGAAATCA